TGGAATAGTAGTAAGATTACGGAGCGTGGAATAGTAGTAAGATTACGGAGCGTGGAATAGTAGTAAAATATCTCTACTGTTAGAATCAGAATTTGAGAAAATGCGGATGGAAGACCAAGGAAATCTTATATAGGAGATTATCATCATACTGATAATGTGTCATTGTCCTCTATGACAGAGTCAGTAAAGAGTAACCTAATCAGTTGCATATCTTAACTTCAGAGAAGTAAAGCTTTTGTACCTCTGTCAAGGCAAATTCTTCGATGAGGTCTTAATCACGGCACTACAGAGCGATCCTTAGTGACATGGACACAACTTTAATTATGATGTACTAGCCTAGGAGTGTAATCATACCTGCCAATCATTTGTGCATGCCAGTTGCTAGTTATTTTATGGAAATTTTAACTTTAGGTGTTAACAGTTCTCTTTCATTTTTAATTGTGTATTCCATTTGTTGACTCTTTCAGGATATATACACTGGAGCTTAGAACAAGATATTTACCTAATTTCTGGTAAGTCAAGTGACTTTACAGAGTCAGTTCATAAAATAGTTATACACTGGTATTATATTTTAGAGAAATTTTAGTGACTGTTAGACAAAAACGGAGAGTGCAGCGGCGGGGGGTGGTGGTGGGAGTGTGGGTGTTTGGAGTGCCGTTCTGGACCCCGCCCCCGGGGCACGCTGAGCTGGCTAGACTGGGCATGGTGGCGCTTGCCTATAATCGCAGTACTTGGGAGGCTGAACGCAGGCAGACCACTACGAGTCTGATCTAGTGAGATCCTGTAGACCCTTGTCTAAAAAAAAAAGGTACTGATTATTTCGTTGCATACCGTCAGAAGCAGAAAAAGTTTTTCTGTAAATTTGTTTCTCAATAATATTACAATAGGGCCGGCCGAATAGCTCAGCGGATTGAAGCTCCTGCCAGCAGGCTCAGGGGTCGGGGTTCGATCCCCGGGCCTGCCATGCTGGCCCCGCCCGCCAGGGCACGCTGAGACAGCAGTTGAGACTGGGCATGGTGGCACACGCCTGTAATCCCAGCTCTTGGGAGGCTATAAACAGGTGGATCACTACGAGTCCAAGCTAGTAGTGAGACCCTGGACTTCCCGTAGACCCTTCCCTAATGAAAAATGAAAAAAAATTACAATATCCAAAAATGTGTGTCATTTCCTGAAGAATTTGGTTACATTTACCTAATCAAATAGCGGTATTTTGAGGAGACACGATTACTCTCAGCACGACGTAGTACGGAATCTAGATGTTCAACAGGACCCACTTTAGATCCGAGGCCAGTTGTTCAGGTTGCGCTGCAATCTCAGTCCTCAGCAGCCTGCTCTCAGTTACAGCTCACGAGTTACGTGCTGAGCTCAGCACACTTCAGGAGCAAACAGGTGAAACCCTGTACTTTATATATTTATACTTAAATCTACCACACCGTCAAGCACTAAAAAGCCTACTCACTTTGCAATTAAATGATTATAGTATTTATGTAGACTAATACATTGAACTCTGTTGTTGCTAGGAGAATAACTGGATTATTTTCTCCTTCTAGTGTCAGAATTAAAGACCTGCTGTAGCTATGAAGAAAGAGCCTGACTGCATCATTTTCACCTAGAGGAAGATGATAGACAGAAATCAAACCTGTGCTGCGGGACAGGACGCCGTGCCTTACGTGACTTGTCTGATCCACGTGCTTGAGGAGTGGCTTGACATAGAGCACTTGGAGGACTATTTGAACTTTATCAACTATCTCTTGTGGGTTTTTACGCCACTGATACTTGTAGTCCTTCCTTACTTTACCATCTTTCTCCTCTACCTGACCATTATTTTCTTACATATCTATAAGAGGAAGAATGTACTAAAGGAAGCCTACTCACATAACTTATGGGATGGTGCAAGGAAAACGGTGGCGGCTGTGTGGGACGGACACGCGGCGGTGTGGCACGGTAAGCTGGGGTTGCTCTGCCCTCTGCGTTTCACTGTCTGTGAGTGGTGCTGAAGCTCTGGGCTCAGCCCTTCTTGCCACTCTCCAAGTCGCCACACCGTGGTCTGATGACGTGCATGGGGTAATTTTAATTCCTCTGCATTTACTCAGCCATGCTCTGTGGGCTAGGAGATAGTCTGTGTTGGAGAATGCCCTCTGCTCTAACGTTCCATTTTATTCTTTGAGAAGATACTGAAAATTACAGTGACGTGATTTCTGATTGTTTATTTGCATGCATTGTGCATTTGTGTTTCTTTCTTAAAATTATTTTCCCCAAACACATTATTTTGCATTAAATGAATCACACAGCTCTGAAGACTTCCACTATAAGCTAAGACAGGGAAATTGATAGGTAAAATATTTAGAAAAATAAGACTAAGTATTTTAAGTTAAGTAGAAATTTTTTAAAAGACTGTATTTAGCATTTTTTCTAGGTCTATTCAAATTCAATTTTCAGTGTAGAGATTTTTAAAGAATGAAATATTTACTAGTATTACATTAAATATAATTTGCACACCAAATTTGCTTTTTGTTTGATTCATCTTACAGGTACACATGTCTTTCTGAATAAATGTGATGATAATAAATTGCTCTCCAGGAAATTAATTCATTTATTATATTGAGACATTGCAGTTCATTATTGGGTCTTCATTTGTTTATCTTGAAAATTGCCCTTTGGTGGCCTATTTTTAAGGGCTTGATAGTTTTCTCTATCAGATTTTTCTGCATTATTCCACCAATACCTTATTTACTGGCTTCTTTTTTTGAGAGCCATAGAAAAATAGTTGAGATTAATTTGGCAGTGCTTTAGTTTGCTTTTAAAAAAAATTAATTGAATTTTAAAATCTTTTGTTTGTGTATTTGGTACGTGTTTGTGTATTTGTGGAATGGCATTGGTCTAGTCTCACTATGTAGCTCAGACTTGCAGTGATCCTCCTGTGTCAGCCTCCCCAGCACTGGGATTATGGGGGTGCGCCACCATGCCCAGTTCTGGGGCTGGCCGGTAGGTATGGCCTGCGGTACTGGGGATCAAGTCCGGGTCCTTGTGCCGACAGCTGTCTCCCCAGCCCATTTACTTATTTATCCTAGCCCGCTTTTGTTGATATACAAGAGCACCTAAGCCAAGGTAGTTTATAAAGCTGGGCACTTGTCTTGCCTTATGGGTCTGGAAGTCGAGTGTGGTGCTAGCCTCTGGGGAGGGTCTCGTGCTGCTCTTTGCATAGTGCGGTGCACAGTGGCACACCATATAAGCAGTGAGCACGTGGGGGTGGCCTTGCCTTGCGCAGCTGGTCTGTGGGCAGCTTGTGTAGTCTCCCAGGCGTGTAGACACACTGACTCTTGAGAGTGGCGTAGGTCTATTCAGATGGCCCTGTCGCCATCACCCAGAGGCCTGCCGAGGGCCTCTAACATGACTGCGTTTAGGGCTCAAGTCTCCGCATGCGCGTTGGTGGGGATGAACTGTGGTGCCACATGACAAAGATGTGGCTTTCTCTGGCATGCTGTGGAGTGTCAAAGCGGTTTTACGAAAGGGCATAGGAGCATGGGCTTCGATGTAGCTGCTGAGGCACGCATCCCTGAGGTCTAAGGCTGCCGTGAGCAGAGGCTGCCAG